TTTGCTTGTATAACATGTTTTTATGTTATGTAATTTTATGAACTCATATATTGTGATTGTGAATGATTTAAGTCATGAAATTTGGCAGATGTGTTGTACACATCCCAAGCTTTAAAATGAGAGGTAGAACACCTCAATTGGATGTGTAGGCAAGGAGATATGAATTTTCAAAGTTGAGACACAAAATCTAGAAGTTCCAAAATTGACCAAATAAAGAGTAACGTTTAATGAATAAACTGTACGAATTGGGTAAGGATAAGTCCAATTTGATATTTTTCTCCTATAGAGAATTGAAAGAGCTTCGAGTAGAATTTTGGAGCACCTCAATACGATTTTTATAGAATTAGTTATGATTTTTCAAATTTGGATCAAAAATCTGGAATTTAATCAGTGAACAGTAACTTGAGAACTTATTACAACTTTCAATCTACGGGCTTCTTTCATGATCCGCTTGAACCATAACACTTCCAAATGTGTACTCTGAAGGGTTAAAGGAAGGATGTTTCATTTTATGTCATTTTTCTTTGTAAGAAACCATAATGTCAAAATGAACATAGCCCTGCGTCTCTCTCGTTTTTAAATCGAGCATATTTATGTGTTATTCAAATTTATGTTCATACATTTTTTCCATCCCTATTACACGCACTTGCACGCCCTAATTAATTTCGTAGGAGACTGTTTTCATTCCTTATTCTAATTTTCCTTTCCTTTTTCCTCAAAAACCTTCTCTTTTTTGTACCAAAACGCGATCTTATAGGGCAATGTGAATGACAAAGTCTCCGGAAAAAACTTCATAAAGATTACCCAATTCTCTCCGAACAGTCAAACCAAACATCAAATTTTATGCCAATTAAGATCACCTGTGAACTGATTAAAAAGGAGATTTTAACACAGTAGTTTTCGGTAGAAATGATTAAGAGATAATTTTCTATGCAAATGATTAAAAAGAGCTTTTTAAGGAAAACATACACATATATCTTATACTACCTTCTGTCTTTAATATAAGAACTAATTGACTAATGTGAGTAGATTAAGAAAATTAGTTAAGTTAGTTATTTGTAATAAATAGGTGTTATCTTTTTTAAATTACTTTTGCTAATCATATGTATTAACTAGAACTATCATTTGATGAAACATTTAATATGTGCAGTTACTATAAGCACTATCTTTAAAAAAATAGATAAGTATAAGAGACAAAGTGGATTGAAGTCTTATATTTAGGACCAAATTAAAAGTCAAACTAGTTCTTATGTTAAGGATTAGAGATAATATATAATTTAATTTAACTACTTTTTGTAATCTTACTAGTTGTCAAATTTTTACGATTGGAATCGGAAGGAGTGTAATCAAACTTGATAGAAGACAAAGTTAGCTCAAATTCTCTTAAAATAATTATTCCTTTCCAACAAACTTTGCTCATGGGCCAAATCACATAATTAATTGGCCTTTTCTACAAAATCGATCTATTAGTATACTTCCTTTGTCCCTTTTTTTTATGAGAAATATAATTAACCAAAAGCTTCAACTTTTTTCCCCCAAAAAAATCCTTGTTTACAAGGGTAGAGAGTATAAGGGAGAGAGCAAGAAAAGTATTAAAATAAAGATTATTGTGGAAGAGAGAAAATGTGTGATAGATCATAAATTGGTGTGAGGGCCATGTGATAATAAACGTATTGGTATTAAAATGAATAATTAAAAAAATGAGTAATTAAGTGGAGCAAAATGGAAAATTAACAAAGATAATTTTATAATAGACACTTTTTTAAAAAAAATTTACAATTGAAAAATTGCATATTAAAATTTTTAAATATATACCACCCAAATCAGACTTTTAATGGCTCATATTTCATTACAGCAATGAATACTATGTGCTCATCAGTGTGATATATAGCAAATGAAGATTGGTTTTAATTCGATTAGACAGATGACAATGATTCAACGTGGGATGCTTGTGTTAGCACTTTTTGTCATTAAAGTTTTTAATATTCCTTCACTTCCTAAATATATTAAGAGCTAGTTAATAAATTTACTTTAATATTAATATAAGATATCAATCATTTTTGTTCATCAAATTTATAATTTTTTCCCCAAACTATCCTAATTTTTAGCCATATTAAAAAAGAAGTTTCATTAATATGATAGTTTTCAATACAAATAATTAAGAGATAGTTTCTAATATAAATGATTAAAGAGAATATTTTAGAAAAACTAACACACAAAGGTGTAATTTTAACAACAAAATTTATCTTAAAAGACACTAGATACCATAAAATTTATTTGGATGTAAAAATATACATGAAGTTACCAAAAAGGGAAGTTTGGCACCACACTGTTAACATCTGTTAGTGGGGTTGATGAATTCAGTTTTAAGGTTCATTTTTAACATTAAAGTTTATATCAAGAGGCATTGGGCACCATAAAATTTACTTAGGTGCAAAAATACTTATGAACTTTTTAAAAGGAAAAAAAACAAAATTAATCAATTCCCATAAACATCCGTTAACTTTATTTTTTTGGGTCTCATCAAATGCTATATTTTCTCTCCATCCATTCCTACTTCCACATCCATCTATATTTCTCTTATCATAGTCAACACTCACACACTAGCTCTCTATTATGTTATTTTCTTAGAGTCAAGTCTTTTATATGTATTTACTCAAGATGACGTTTTTCCTTTCTGGGACATGAGGTTCATTGCTACCTCTAGTTTTTAATATAAGACATAATTCACTAATTTAAAAAGACTAAAGAAATTAAATAAATTACTTTAAAGTATTATATTTATCATTTTTTAAATTAATTTTCTTGGCTTATAAATTAATATATAATTTAATAATGCATATAAATATTTTAGATAAATCATATAATATATATGCTATAATTAAGTAATTTTTTTTACCTCTTTAATTTTTTTCAAATTAGTCTATTATACTAAGGAGAGGAGGAAGCGAGAATGAGTGGAGTGAAAACATGATATTTAGTGGGACTTAAAAGAATAAAGTTAATCGATGCTTATAGGAGTTAATGAATTTTGTTAATTTTTTCACTTTCGTTTTATAGGAGTTAATGAATTTTGCTAAGTTTTCTCCTTTTTAGAAAGTTTATATATATATATATATATATATTTTGCACATAAGTAAACTTTAAAGTACCCAGTGTTTCTTGATGTAAATTTCGTTATTAAAAATACACCTTTAAACTGATTTCGTGGGTCTCATTAATAGTAAACTAACGGACATTAATAGCATGTGCCAGATGCCCCCTTTTTACAATTTCATATATATTTTTACATTCAAGTAAACTTTACAGTACTCAGTGCCTTGGGATAAATTTTATTATTAAAATTGCACCTTAATCCCATATTTTATATATAACTAATGTCTTTAATCTTTATAAATTTAATTGGTTGTCTCATTCTTACATTTCGAATGGGAAGGAGTATAACCAAATGAGATAGAAGACAAAGTGAGTACATATTCTCTTGAAATAATAACGATTCCTTTTCAACAGACTTTGTTCATAGGCTGAATTATGTATTCCCTTACATACAACCGGAAATATGGGTTGGACCCGTGGATCGGACTCGCCAACCAACCACCACCTAAAATATATGAGCTTGCACTGCCACAGTCAGAGCCTGCAGCGGGTTGCTAATTGAACCCGCCTAATTTTTTTTATATATTAAAATATTAGGAGGAGGTGGATTGGAATTATGGAAAGGCAAGAAAACTGAAGTCCTACTAGCTACTACTATCAAAATCAATATTGAGCCAACTTCAAACAATGCTTCAGCTTCAAATGTCATCACCATTAGAGATAATTAAATCAAAATGGTTATTCATTGTTGCATGTTGATTTTATTGGAAAAATTTATGTTTGAACTTGTATTTTTATCATGTTTGGAGTTTGGACTTTGGACAATCATATATTTTGTGTTTTAATGTGTTGTAATTTTATTTGAATACTTGGAACAATTTAAATTATTTCTGATTTTTTTAATTTTTGATTATTTATAAGGAAAAATTAAAAAAAAATATATGGCGGGTTGGTGGGTTAGGGTTGGCAGAATACCAGCCCGCCAGAAAACAGGCCTTTTGAGCCTGACCCGTACAACCCGCAGCTACAGGTTGGCCCATTTTACTAGCCCTATCTTTACGTCTATAATATAAGTCACTTTAATTACTAATTCATCCTATATAACCACTTAATGATAGTTATCCATAAAATTTGTCTTTCCACAAAATTTATCTATTAGTATGGTAAATTGCATCTGAAAATTTCCAAATCAATTAAGCTGTCAAAATTTGTTTGCACTGTATATATATATATATATTCATGTTAAAGAGAAGACTAATGAATTCCCTTTTTCCCCCAACAAAAGACTAAAGAATTCTCACACCTTAAATTTAAAAATAAATATTTGATTTAAAATATTTCAATTTCGAACAGACCGAGTTTGGGTCATTGAATGTAATTTAACTAAAGTAATATACATGCCTAAATAAGTAACATAAAACACACATAATTAATTAAAAACGAAATTTAAGATATTTAAATTTCTGTTTTTAGAGGTCCATATTATTTACTGTGCTCCATGAATTTTCCTCATTTTGGTGATAGATGAAGAACAAGTTGTGCTTCCGAGAAGTACGTGCTCGAATCGAAGGGTGTTCAATTTTGGATTTTGTTTATGGTGTTCTTGCCTTTTCACGTACACCTCTCACGTTCTCTCTCTCCTCTCTCTCTCCCCCCCCCCTCTCTCATATTTTCATACATAAAATATAAAACTTTGCTGTCTTTAACTAAAAAACCGAACAACACCCTTATTATTATCAAATCTCTCACAACAAATTAATGCCTCGTTTTCTCCGCCTTCTCTCTGCGCAAAACATTGACGTCGTCAATTTTTAAAGCAGCCGCCGTCGCTGACGACGTTGCTGCCACCTCTCCTTCGGTTCCTGACCCATCATCATCACGTTACATTCTAGATCATCCTAAGTATGGGTCAGCATAGCCGTCGTGAATCAGATCCCGGCCCCTTTCGATCGACTATCTCCGACGACCACCAGTTCTTCCGCCGTCACCTCCAGTGCCGTGACATTTTCGAGAAGGAAAGCGACCTCGTATGGCCCTTTGAGAAGATCGAAGGTTTAGATCGGGATGATACACGAGAAGCAGCATATGAGATATTTTTCACCTCATGCCGGTCATCGCCGGGGTTCGGAGGCAAGACGGCCCTAACGTTCTACTCCAATCGTGAGAACGGCGAGGACGGATCTGGCCAACCGGTAGCGGCACAAACAAGTATGGTGAAGAGGGCGTTAGGGTTGAAGTTATTGAAGGTACCCTCAAGGAGGACGTTGTCCAGCGCGGGCAGTGGAGGGTTGCCTAGTCCGGTGTCGCCGGGGAGCAGCGGTGGTTTCCCGGTGTCATGCACGCTGCCGCCGGCCAAGCCAAGGCGGCCGATGACTTCGGCAGAGATCATGAGACAACAAATGAGGGTGACGGAGCAAAGTGATAGCAGATTAAGGAAAACACTCATGAGGACTCTCGTAGGCCAAGTACGTTTTTATATCTTGGATGGCTTCATCTTTCGTTTTTAATAAATTAATTATGCTGATTTATTTGACCATCTTAGGAAGATATTTGAATTTGATTATTCTAAAATCTAAAAGAAATTTCAATATTAATCAATCCAAGTTTGTTGACCAGAAGATGTAATGAAGAATTCGAGTAGTTCGCAAATTTGAAATCGATCACCCTTTTGGCCGGAAAAAGAAATCGATCATCTTAATTACTCTGCAAGATCAATAGAATTATAGATAAAGTGAATAACTTCCGAGCAAAAAACTGTACATCAAAAAAATGAGATTTACTCAATACCACGTCTAGTGCTAATTATAAAAGCTAGTTGCTTAATTTGAGAAGATTAAGAAAATAAGTTAAGTCAATTAATTGAGATAAATAGGTGTTGTATTTCCTAAAATATCCTTACTAATCAAATATATTGGTTAGAACTACCATTGTTAGAAGGATTATCTTGAAAAAAAATGCATAAATATGAGAGACAAAGTGGATCAAGGTCTTATATTTAAGACCAAAATAAAAGTCAAACAAGATCTTATATTAAGAACCGGAGGTAGTAATATTTTCACATGTTTTTGTTTTGGTATGATCCGAATTTAAACAAAGGACAATCCAACTTGTTAATTATTTGATTTGTTAACTATAATACTACCTTCGGTCCTTAATATAAGAGTTAGTTGACAAATTTGAATAGATTAAAAAAGTTTGTTAAGTTAGTTATTTGTAATAAATATATGTTATTTTCTTTAGAATACCCTCGCTAGTCATGTCTATTAACTAAAACGACCATTTGAAACAACATTTAATATGTGCAACTACTACAATGATTATTTTGAAAAAAAAAACAAATGAATATGAAATAAAAAGTGGATTGGAGATCTTATATAGATTAAATTGAATGTTAAATTAGCTCTTATATTAAAGATCAAATGTAGTATAATTTAATTTCTATATTTAGAGTTGCAAGGAAATATTCATCTTATATTTTCCTGAGACCAAAAAACAATTACTTAAAGGGATGATACTCTTGACCCAAAAAAAAAAAAAAAAAGTGGATGATACTCAATTGGTAGATGATTTAGAGATCTTCCATTTGACTAATTGACTGGATTATTTTATTAAAAAGGTTCAATAAGGATTTCTGTTTTTCATATTAATAATCTGCATGGAAGTACAAAAATTAACAGATGCCTAAATCCTTTTTCTTGTTCGCATTTTTAGTAGATTTCAAGATCTGTTCATTGCATAGAGCTCAAAATTTGAAGCTATCTTGTTCGTAACTTTGTATTAATTTAAGTTTTATATCAAAAAATTAAATTGTATATCTTACAATATAATAATGCATTTGGATCTAACCATTGAAAAATTGTGAAAATTGATGCAGACGGGGAGGAGAGCAGAGAGTATAGTGCTACCTTTAGAGTTATTACGACAAGTAAAACCCTCAGAATTCAATGATCCTCAAGAATACCATTTATGGCAAAAGAGACAGATCAAACTTCTCGAAGTAGGTCTTCTTCTTCACCCTTCAATTCCCGCTGAAAAATCCAACCCTTCAATCATAAGCCTCAAACAAGTTATCAACAGTGTAGAATCCAAACCTTTAGACACCAACAAAACATCAGACGTCATGAAAACCCTCTGCAACGCCGTCACCGTCTTAGCCTGGCGAAACTCCGGCCTCGATGTCTGCCACTGGGCCGACGGCTTCCCGTTGAACATCCACCTTTACATTTGCCTATTGCAGGCAATTTTTGACATCAGAGAAGAGACTTCTGTTCTAGATGAGGTTGATGAATTGCTTGACCTAATGAAGAACACGTGGGGCACTTTGGGAATTTCCAGGGCTATTCACAACGTTTGCTTCACTTGGGTGCTTTTTAACCAATATATTGTGACTGGACAGATAGAATCTGATCTTCTTTGTGCATCACATGCGATGTTAAATGAGGTTGCCAAAGAAGCAAAGAGTAAAAAAGAAGGGAATTCGAGTTCGAATTCTTCTTTGTATGTGAATATGTTGAACTCCGTGTTGAGATCAATGGTGGGTTGGGCTGAGAAGAGGCTTCTAAGTTATCATGAGTTCTTTGTTCGTGGAAATGTTGCACAGATTGAGAACATTCTTCCTATTTTGCTCTTAGCATCTGACATTTTGAGTGATGAAGAAAATGGAGCAACACAAGATTCGATGATGTCATCCAATGATCGACTTGACCGCTATATTCGATCTTCCGCGGCAAATGCATTTAAAAAGGTTTCTGCTCTTAACCTATCATTTTTAATTTCTATATCTAAATTAACTGGTTACTTTTTTCTTAGCAATTATCAGATATATATTTCTCTAAATGGAATTCAATGTTAGAATGAAGTGGTGATTATTCACATACATATACTCCCTGTTTCCCAAAGGTAAGAATTAATATCATAAATGTAAAACCTCAACTACTCACTTTATTTCTCAAATTTATAATTTTTTTCAAACTTTCTCTATTAATTGCACATAATAGAGAAATTTTCCGTCAAGAGAAGAGTTTTCAATTTTTTTTTTGACCAGTGGTTTTCAATTCAAATTATTAAAATAGGTACTTTAGAGATATCAACATACATTAAATAGTTTTTTTTAACATTTATAAATAAGTTGTCTAACTTGTATATTTACGACTGGAGAGAATGATTGAATCCTTGTTTCAAGACATGTTCCCCGAGGTTTTGAAAATAAAGATAAGATCAAGTAAATTTCAAACTGAAAATTAGGCCTATATAACGATGAATAAACTTTATAAGAGATAACTAGAATTTATATTCTACTCTAGAAAAAAGTATAATAATGGATGGCATCACAAGCTTTTTAATGACTGACGTAATATATATATATATATATATATATCAATATAAAATCTATAGCAAGCCAAGCTACCCTATTCACAAGTCATGAAGAAGATGATTATGTATGTTCCAGCAAAAGAGATTTATACTCCCTCTAGCCTTGAATTTAGTAGTTAGTAAAGAAATTTGTTTTGCTCATAAACATAAAATCTCAATCTACTTTGTTTTTCAAATTTATAATTCTTTTTTAACAATTCCCATGTTGATTGCACGATAATATCATAATGGGTTTTTCCATCAAGAGTAGTTTATTTCCAGTGCGAATAATTAAAACAGGTATCATGGAGAAGTCAACACACATTAAACAGTTTTTTTAATATCTGCAGCAAATTACTCCCTTCGTCCCTTTTTATAGAAAACAACTACCATCTTTATGTTATCCCTATTTATAGAAACATTGGTAAGATGTCTCAAATTTTTTTGGTTAGTTTCCTATTTTGCCTCCTTTAATTACCTATTTTAATACAGATTTCCTGAAACATCATTCTCTTTATTTTAATAATTTTTTATTCTTTTCCTTATACTTCCCCTTATAAATAAAGGTATTTTTCTAAAAAAATGGTTTTTATATATTTATTATTTTTAATCAATTTCAATTAACTTTTTAATCCACTTGATTTGGTCAAATAATGTTTTTAATAAAAAGGAACGGAGGGAGTAGTTGTCTAGCTTGTATATCGATGACCAGATCAATATAATTGAATCTCTGTTTCAAGACATACAGGTTCGACTAGGTTTTGAAAATAAAGATAAAATCAAATAAATTTAAAATTAAAAATGGGGCCCATATAAATATTATCACTGATGTTGCAATATTATAATGAGTAGCATCACTAGCTTTTCAATTACTGATATACTACCTCCTTTCCTTAATATAAGACCTCGTTTGACTTTTATTTTAGTTTTAAATATAAGACCCTAATCCCCTTTATCTCTATATTTATGCATTTTTTTTCCAAAAAAGTCCTTCTAATAATGATAGTTCTAACCAATATACATTGGTTAGTAAGGATATGTTAGGAAAAACAACTCTTATTTATTAGAAATAACTAATTTAATTTATTTTCTTAATCTCCTCAAATTAGTCAATCAATTCTTATAATTAGGACCGGAAGTAGTAATATATATCAATATAAAATCTATAGCAGGCTAAGCTAACCTATGCACAAGTCATGAAGATGATGATAACACATCATTTCTTAGATTATATCATGGTTATGCATGGAATTGAATTAAACTTGTGTTTTTCTTTTTCTCACTATAAGTACAGATGATAAAAGAAACAAACGCGAGCTATGCGAAATCAGAAGTGGAGGTAGACGCAAGAGAAGTATTGGTTGGATTGGCCCAAGAAACAGAGGAATTGGCAATGAAAGAGAGGCAAAACTATAGCCCAGTACTGAAGAAATGGCATGGAACAGCAGGAGCCGTGGCAGCATCAACTCTTCACAGTTGCTATGGGCAAGTTCTGAACCAGTATCTGAATGACGTCACCACGCTGACGTCAGACACGGTTGAGGTGTTGGAGAGGGCTAACAAACTTGAGAAGGTTCTGGTTCATATGGTGGTTGAGGATTCTGCAGATTGTGAAGATGGTGGGAAGACCATTGTGAGGGAGATGGACCCTTATGAAGTTGACTCTGTCATATTGAACCTCTTGAGGAAGTGGATCCATGACTCTCTCACCAAATGCACTGAGGTTTTTGAAAGAGTCAGAGAATCTGAGGTATGGATTTTGAATTTGGATTAATTAATTTCCTCATTATTTGTTGAATTAAACTAAAAATGGCTCATTTAAACAGATTTTTGTACCAACCCATATAATAACATAAGAATGATTTATATATATGATATATATATCTTCTTTCATTATTAAAGATAAAAAAATTGTCCTTATTAGATTCGGAATATTTTGCTCAAAATCATTATGAAAGCAGACACATAAAGCTTTTAACATTATTCAAAGAATGTAAGGTATGGACATTGACTTTGGATTAATTTTCTCTTAAAAATGGTTCATTTGAACAAATCTTTACCATTCATATGTTGCGATAAGAATGAATTATTACACACACACATTTTCTTTTTTATAACTTGGGCTATTCATATTTTACTCAAAATCAATGAGAAAAACAGACACATTAAACTTTTAGCATTAGTTGAAAAATTGCACCCAAAAATTTCATTTTGGAAAAAATGATTTGTTTGGCATGAAAATGGAATATACCAAGTCTATTAAGGATAAAAGTTTCTCTTTAATAATGGAAAACTTAAACTGCGCTTAGATAAGCTCAACGAATAGTTTTCCTTCCAAATAAAATAAAAAAGAAATGAGAGATTTGGATTCTAACTAATGTTGAAAGCTAACTGCGTCTCCTTTTACTTACCCATCAAATGTGAGATTTTGGACCAATGGTGGTAGAAGCCACTCAATACTCCTGAAAAAACACAGTCATGAGTTTAAATCATGTGAATCTATAGAAAAATGACTCGTAAGGAAAATTACTTTCATTTAGGTCTAACCATACTCAAATAAGATCTTATTATATTAGATACTAGATAGTTATAACAATCTTGTTATATATTACATAGTAATTGCATTTTGTGTGTTTGATAGCAGACATGGAACCCAAAGTCAAAACAAGAACCATATGCACAATCAGCTATGGAGCTTATGAAGCTCGCCAACACAGCAGTGGAAGAATTCTTCAGAATTCCAGTTTCAATCCCTGAGGATTTAGTTCAAGAACTTGCTGTGGGTTTGGAAACTCTATTTCGAGACTACATGACATTTGTTGCAGCATGTGGTAAGCTTAGAAACTAGCTACTACCTCTGATTCTTAATATAAGAGCTACATAATTAATTCGGAGATATGAAAAATATAAGTTAAGTTGGTTATTTGTAACAAATTGTTGGCTTTCCTAAATTACCTTCTTTAATCCTATTCCTTGGAATTATCCTTTGGTAGGAACCCTTTACATCCAATATGAATTTTGTGGGGGGAAAATTATAAATTTGAGAGATAAAGTGGATTGGAATCATATATTTAGGACTAAATTCAACTCTCAAAACTAGCTCTTATATTAAGGATAAGAAGTAACATATATAACAATTGCATCATCTCAATTTTGTGTTTTAATCTATGCATGTCTCAGGTTCTAAAAAGAGCTACATCCCATCACTTCCACCATTGACAAGGTGCAGTCGAGATTCAAAATTGAGCAAAATGTGGAAGATAAGAAACCCTTGTAGTTATGGTCTTGAACAAGAACACCAAACAATTCATTCATCAAATGAAGCTCATCAAAATCCTCAAAGTAATCTTCCTCCTCCTCGTCCCTCTACCAGTAGAGGAACTCAACGTCTTTACATTCGCCTTAATACCTTACATTACCTTCTCACTCACATTCATGCCATTGCCAAAGCTCTCTCCCTCCACCCTAACCCGCGCCCTTTCGCCGCCACTTCTCACTTTGAGATCCTTGTCTCCTCCATCCACGCCGCCTGCCAACATGTCTCCGAGATTGCCGCATACCGCCTCATTTTTCTTGACTCCAACTTCATCTTGTACGACTCTCTCTATGTTGGTGACATGGCAAATGCTTCAATTGGATCTGCATTGAGAATTTTGAAGCAAAACCTAAACCTAATGCTCACTATTCTCACTGAGAAAGCACATGTGGTGGCAGTGAAGGAAGTGATAAAGGCTACTTTTGATGCTTTTCTTATGGTATTGCTTGCAGGAGGAAGCAATAGGGTTTATAACAGGTCTGATCATCAGCTTATTAAAGAGGACTTTGAGGGTTTAAAAAGGCTTTTTGTGAATTGTTGGGAAGGATTAAAAGTAGAGGATATTATGGATAAAGAAGGTGAAGTAGTGGAAGGAGTGATAGCTTTAATGGGAGAAAGTACAGAGCAATTAATGGAAGATTTTAGCACCTTAACATGTGAGACAAGTGGGTTAGGTGTAATAGGTAGTGGCCAAAAATTGCCTATGCCTCCAACAACAAGAAGATGGCATAGAGCAGATCCAAACACAATATTGAGGGTGTTGTGCCACAGAAATGACAAAATTGCAAATCAATTCCTAAAGAGAACGTTCCAATTAGCAAAGAGGAAATGAGAGAGTGAGACAACTTTTCGTATTCTTTTTTCTCTTTAGAGCACAAGTACATATTCATCCATGTGCCTTGTAAATAGGAACAAACAGCTTGGTAAGCACTGGTGTATGATTTTAATAAATAGGGCTTTTTCAACACTCAAGAGACTACATATATTATTGTAGTGATATAGATTCTCTATAATTTAAAAAATGTGAATGTATATAGTGCATTCAAAGAGAAATAGAGATGTGTGTCTACACACTGTCACATTCTTTTTGCCACTTTACCTAAAGAAAGTGATTGGATTAATATTGCATAAATTAAACATTCGGTCATCATGATGTTAAAAAGTGTAGGAGAGAAAGAATGAGAGGTTCTTGTTATGTTTGATTAGATTGTTGTTGAGAATGGTTGTTACTTATGGTATAAAGCCAATGAATTAATCAAAAGGTGTTTGATTATATTGTAATCTAAGGATCAAGCATGCTTGCTCTCACGATGAGCCTGTGTAATATATATAACATGCTTGCTAAAATGTTGGTTTCAATGTTTGGCTTTTTTATATATACTTTTTGTTTTCAATTATCTTATAGGTAGTTAGTGTTGTGGCATGCTTCAAACTGTATCACCTTTATTAATATTATAGGTAATCCTTCATTTCTTATATGTAGTAATTAGTTTTGTTATGATTATTGCACTTTTTTCATTTGAATTGTTGATTTTTTTTTATTATGAGAGCTCATACACTGATGAAGAGACTGACGATATTCGAGATCATTTGGCACAACAATTTCTTCAAGAGTGTTATTCTTAATGATACATGAGGTCAAAAGGGATTAAAATATCTATTTAATATAAGTTAGGAGGTGATTAGATTTTTTGGTTTTAAACTTTCTTGTGCTATATGGTTAAGTTAGGGTGTTTAGTTTTTTTTTTCTTTTTTTACTTAACTAAGCTAATTTGAATGTTATTGTTATTATTTGTTTTGACCCATAAAATTGTGTATTGTGGAATTTTTTGTTGTATGTTAAGTATGACATGATTTGGTTCTGCTAAATAACTCTTATTGTTGCTGGAATCTATTTTGGTTCTATTCATATGCTTTAGAATTGTAGTTTGTAATGATAAAAATTGGCAATGCAAATTATTTCAACATTTTCTTTTAAAAAAACATTTATTTTCGTCTCTTTTGGTGTGAATAGACAAAAATAGGCTCCTATTACTATTGCTAAAAACATCTTTTGTGGTATTGAGTTGATTTTGTCAGGTTCATATTTCATGCTATCTCAAAATGTCTGTAAATTAAAAAGAACAAAGCCACTAGTCAACTTGATCAAAAATGTGAAAAAAATTGAAAAATTACAATGTAACTTCTACTTACCTCATCTAATTTTTCAGTAACCGCTGTCTCAATGATGTCATTTATATAGCATATCACTTAATATTCGTATTCAACACTCTCAGATTGACAATAGTACTAACAAAATAAAAAATAGAATTGAATACATTAGAAAATATTTAACTTCATTATCTAAAAAATTTATAAACATAAAACTTAACTCAGAACAACTTAGTTTTAGGAGAGTTGATAAATTCCTATTTTAATATATTATTTGATATCTTTTTGGGGATATTTATCAATTAAAGTGGGATAATTTACATTGATTGTGGATATTTTGAATTAAATACTGATTGCATGAAATTAGAGTTTTGATAGGAAATCTCCTCTTGAATAATTAATTTTGGTTTTATGATAGTATCTCAATTTCATCTTTTGCAGGCCTTAGAAAAGGAAATAAATATAAAAAGAAAGCTGAAAAAAAAGATTTAAAAGATTTGAAAAAAAAGAAAAAGAAAAAGGAGACCATCACATCCTGTTAATTTTAATTCTGAAAATAAGAAGTATAAAACAGATCATGGGTTAAGCAGGGTAGCTAACAGATAGATGGCACAACTTTTGAACTGAAACTAGCCTGGGACCGGACTGTCATTTTTAAAAATATTTGGTCAATATTGAACAGGGTGGGAATGTAGATCTAAAATTATAGAAAATTTCTCAAAAACCATGAAAAATAGAATAAAGGATACATAATAGTATTTGAGGCATGAAAGATAAAAATAATTTATTTTGGAATTTTTTGTATTTTCTTAGAATTTTGGCTAATTAAAAGAAAATTTGTCAAATTGAATTATTTAAAATATATAGGGGTCTTAATAATTCATGAAAAAATAGAAAAATTATTTGAAGGTTTATTATGAATTTTAAAATTATTTCCAACATTTAGAGATGCTAAGGTTAGCTATAATTATTTAAAGCTAAAAATTTTATCGGTAAAGGGCCGATTTCGGGAAAAATTCAATTGAAGGAATTATAGGCCAAAATAAAACTAAGAAAATTAGGAAAACCTCTCCTCGTCAAAAAGAAATTATTGGCACAAGGAAATAAAGTTTTGGAGATAGTGAATTTAATAGGATTCAAGAAAAATTTAACTGATTACATGAAATTGTACAGTGCAATAGCCATAAGCCTATTAGGGCTAAATTTTCCCCTATTTTTTGACCTATATGGCATCATTTATGAAGGTTGAGGACCTAAATGGAATAATACAATTTGTTGAACAATAGAATTGGAAGATTGGAATTTTGCTTAAAATATGTGAATTTTTACACATGGGAGCTTATGTTGTTAGATTTAAGGGTTTTGATGATAACAAATTAAGTTGCTAAGTTTTTATGAATACCTGTTTAATCAATAAAGTGTTCTGATGATGCCTCTGTCATTAAAGCACTCAATTAAACTAGATCCTAATTAATTTGTAGTTTAGGATAGACCTAGGTCATTACTTCCAAGGAGCAAGTTATGGGTTTCTTTAGGTAAAAATTTAGGTGATAAAAAAAATGCAATAAATTGAACCTAAACTAAAATGCAAAATTCTAATTCTAAATGAAAGATACAAATGTCCTAAAATCTATATGCAAATTAAATTAAACTTAAATGAATGCAATGCAAATTTTGGGGGAGATTTTTTTGGAAAAACTTAAAATGATAAATGAAGAAAATTGACTAAAGAGCAAAGAAAATTAACAAGTGAAAATTGAGAAGTTCTCTTCGGTAAGGTAGAGGGGACAACTTAGGATTCATATGGATTTAACCTTCATAACCTTAATCAGTTAATTAGACCAAAGGGAAGTGATAAGAGAGTAGAATTAATAAATTTAATTACCTACTTGAAACAAAGGGAACCCTCAATCTCAAAAACCCTTAAACTATTAGAGAACTCATAACAGTATAAAGTTGGTTAATTAAGCTTATTAAAACCAATGAAAATATCTCAAATTAATTCTGGAAATTATGTTTGAAATCATCCAATTAAACAACTAGATAATTAACCAACTTAATTAAACAATTAAGAGGCAAAAGAACCCAAATTTTACAATTCAAACCACATTGATCATTAAACTCATAATGAAAACTCAATTATAAACTCAATTAACAACACAAAGGTTCTAAACATAAATTTCAACAAGTGTCTCAACACAAATAAAATCCAAATATCAATCCAATCCAAGCATAAAGATGACAATCTAGAACTAAATTGTCTCACAAAATTACAACTTAAAATTATTTAAACTAAATAATTTCAAGTCCTTAAATTAAAAAGATAAATGGAACATTACTCCCTTATGGTCTTCAAGTGCTAACCTAAGGCTCAAGTCTTCTCCATACTCTTCCCAAGTTGTCTGCCTCACAAGCTTAAGCTTCCATCAATGTATCTCCTCCTCCAAGCTCCTTAGTGCAATTCATGGGTATGTGACGCAGTGTGGATGATTCAAGTAATGGGTGAAGTACGCGTGGAGCAATTGATGAGAGTGGATGATGTTGTATGACTATGGAACGGAATGAATGAATTATGAGAGGGCGTGAGACTCAAGGGATAGTGGTGAAGGAAGAGATTTTACGTTGAATTTTGCCGTGAGTGTGTATGGAGAAGGAGAAAGTGTGATATTTAGGCTTTCCTGGAGGGATTATTTTGATGGGAGAAAAAGAAATTTTTATGAATCAAAGCTCAAACCCATTAATAATTAATTGGCCTACTTGATATTAGCCATTGGATTGTGCTTAAATCCCAAGAAACAATCTTGCACCATTGGATTCCTATATGCTCTTTCTTGACTTATAAGAATTTAAGTGCATCCATTAATGTAGATTATATCCAAATATAATATAATCTATATCAAAATTAAATATTAGATATGCACAAAAATTAGGCAAGAAATTAAAAAACTTTCTAAAAATAATCTTTCTAAAAATATGAGACTTATTTCCAAAGAAATGGAAAAAATTAATTCTAATTCAAAAATAGGAAATCATAAAATATTCATATTTTCAATCCAAAATCTCAATTTTTATGCAAAATCCAAAAATCAACCAATTTATCCAATAATGCATAAAAATTCAATTAAGCTCAAAATTATCATTTAAATCCTAAATTAATGTGGGATAAAATGTATAAAATTTAGGCTTTATCATGTTCGATCATCGTTTAATCGAATATGTGTTAGATAATTGACTGCTTGTTTTTGAACCCAATACTATTAAGATATCAATCACGTGATAGATGATATATTGTGCCAAATAACTTGCTAGATAAATGGGTTGATCCATCAACTGATCAATCATTGGTATAACTGCTTGAATATAATATGTTTTAGGAAATTATCAATCACTTAATCGATAAATGTATCACACCTTACTATCGTATCATCTTAGGGTTCAGTTAAAACTATTTTAGACCACATTGGATGGTCTTGGGCTCAGTTTTATCCTAAAAAAACGCTGATTTTTGGATTTTTACTGTTCATCGAGTAAAAATCTAGTTTTCTGGCCCAACTTCAAAAATTCATAACTTAATCTAGAAAAATCAAAATAGAGTGATTCAAATTCTATAAAAAGCTCTTTAAATGCTCTTTCAAGGAAAAATAATCTTGTGAACTAATTCCATTTGAAAAAGTGTTAGGG